CTGAAATTTACAAAAGGTATTGGCTTTGTGTTTCCTTACAAAATCTTTTTCTTTGTGCCGTTATTTTACTCATGTTTATCTATCCATTTACAAAAATTACACAATAGGAAAAAAAAGTCTTATTTGACAGTTTTTAATACTTATAGTTCTCTGAGAAAGGGCCTGGAGATTCAATTAAGTTTATTAAATGCAACATTTTACAAGCAATCTAATAAAGACCTGAAAGCACAAATACAAATGAGGAGCATTTGTAAAAAGCACCATTTTAAACCTATGATGCGAGAAGACCAAAGAAGCAGAACTACTGCTAGAATTCCTTCCCACCTTGGGTGAGTGGGAGTTGGGGCCGGGTGCTAACAGTGACCAGGCAGGACAGGGAAATGGCAGGAGGGAAACTCCCCACAGGGCACCCTGAGGGGCTCTGTCCGTTGTTTCTTCCTCAAAATGTTCCTCTCATTTTCCCTTTTTGGTTCTCTCCTACCCTCAAAACACCTCCTGAGGGAAAATTGGAAGTGAGACCCATTTGGAAGGCATAACCCCAAACAGGAAGCAGGTCCCTACAAAAAGGTCCAGTGAGCTGGGGTGTGGGTCCCCTCCTCCTCCTCTAACCCAGTTCTCCTACCTAGGGCTGGTGACCAGTTCAGACCTGCAGGCACCTGGCTTCAATCAGGCTTCTTCTGTTGCATCAGTAGAGAGGGGAGTAAAGATTCAGGAGACAGAGTTGGACATCCCTGGTGAGCCCTGGGAGGCTCTGAGATACAGTAGCTCCTTCCTGGCCCTGCTCTTGAATTTTTATGACACAAAGTCTCAAAAAAGATCTCGGTGAGAAAACTGCTGGGTGATTTGATAGTTTATCCCTTGGCAATTTGAGAATCAATATTCCTGACTGGTGAGCTGATAAGAGATATACTAATAAACTCTATGCAGCTGAATATTTAAAAAACAAGGGTGGTTGCCACCCTGGGGAGTGTGTAAAGCTGCTTGAGATTTTTGGAAGCTGCTTCTCTTCTGTGCAAAGTCAAAGGCTTTAGAATACAAAACACAAAACAGTTTCCATACAAAATAAAAACAGCAATTGTAATGTATCAGGAATGTCCCCAAATTAACTGATTACCAAAGGACCTACTCCGGGGGATGATGGTACCTTCCAGAAAGAGGCAGATAAGCCCGTGGACTGGCTCTCACCCTCACCAGGTGAGAACTCTCGGCAACAGCTTCACCTGCTGCCCCAATTTCCACGAGGGGAGGCTAAATGAGGTACGAGGCTCCCCATTATGTTGAACTATAACAATGGCATGAAAAAAAGTTTGCAAAGTGCTTTCTTCAGTGTCTTTGACCAGAAGTATGAATAATAATCACAGGTATTTTCTTCCCCACACACGGTAGGCACTCAGGTAGAGGAAGACCCTATTTTTGCTACTTTGTCCTAACTTCCAGCCTGCTTCAGCATACAGTATTATTTAAACGAACAATTAACTTTACTGTGTAGAAATGGATTGATCAAGTAAGTGTGTAAAACTCATTTTCACTTATTAATTAATTAGGTTTTTCTTGGTGGTCTTGGGGCTGTCCCCAGGGCTTCACCCAGGCTAGGCAGTGCGCTACTACCTCACTACACCCATAGCCCATCATTTATTCACTGAACTGCTCCTGAAGTTTGCGGTTCAATCAAGATTTTTTTTTCTTGCCCTACCAGGTTGTTTTAAAAAGGGACATGAAAAGGGCATTCTGGGAGGATGGCTGTAGCCCGTATGAGCTGGAGTACATGAGGTCCTGGCTTTCTTTGGAGGTACAGCTATCCAGACCAAGCTCCTGGGCATGGGCTCACTGCAGTGACCCCTGCACAAGGCACAGGCTCTCAAATGCAGATGGCTCCCAAGGCTCTGCAATCCAGCCTCACTTTGGGCTGGGGAGACAGCTCAGTGGCATAAGTGCCTGCCTGGCAAGCGCAAGGTTCGGAAGAGTTCGACCCCCAGCACCACACGCCATGCTGGCCCCAAAACTGGGTGTGATGGGGCACGCCTATAATCCCAGCACTGGGGAGGCTGAAAACAGGAAGATCACTATGAGTCTGAGCTGCTGCATAGTGAGATCCTGTACCAAATACAAACAAACATCAACAAAAACCCACTTTGCCACACTAAGAACTTTTAGCACCATCCTAGCTCCTGATGAGGTCTCATCAGTGTCACCCCAGTGTGTCCTGGGCTGCGCTGCCCTTTGTAGCACTGCCATAGCCTCAGTTCCTCATCACTTTTAATCTGTTGGTCTTTCTCACACTAACATGGCTCCTCCCCAATGCATCTTTCCTCCTCTATGCTTTTGACAGATTGAAAAAAAAAGAAATCTAATCCCATCTACTCTCTACTCAAAAGCCTTCAAACTCCTTAATTTAATACAGAATTCTGATTCTGGTCACTAGCCTCCCTCTGCAGTTCCCCCCTCCCCGTATTTAGGTGTGTGTGTGTGTGTGTGTGTGTGTGTATGTGTGTGTGTGTGTGTGTTTCCAGTACCGGGGATTGCACTCAGACCCTGTACTTGCCAGGCAAGGGCTTATTCTATTGAGCTATCTCCCTGTTTTTTTCTGTATTTAGGACAGGGTCTTCAGGGTCTCACTATGTAGATTGCACTCATAGTGATTCTCTTGTTTTCAGCCTCCCAAGAGCTGGGATTACAGGTGTGCACAGTCTCAATTAGCCTCTCAGCACACCCCAGGGGCAGGACTGGCACAGTACGCCGGGGATCGAATGCTGGCCACCACTGTTCTCTGCGTAAGCAGGCGCTTCCCTCTGCAGTTTAATGATCAACACACTACTGAGTTTTCCCAGAGGGAGGATGCCTGAGTTGTGTGGTCCCACAGAAATCAGCTCGGGAGGAGCTCCCCGGGTTTGCGTGGCTTGCTGAATGTGAGCTCTCGCATGTACTTTCTGCCTTCAACAGCCTCTCCTGACCCAATTTAAGGAATTTCAAGTTTGAGTTTAAGCATCATTTCTAACAGATTTCAAACGTTTCCCATCTGCAAATGTACATCCAGTGTGTGTCCCAGAATGACTGACACGGTGTGGTAAAAACTCATCATTTTGTACTGTACCTGCTTACAGATCTTGCGTATCTCTCTCAATAAGCCCTGGGTTCTCTGCAAGCCAGGACTGCACTTTTTTTAAAATTTTATGTATTTTGGTATAGGGTCTCACTATGCAGCTTGGACTCATAGTGATCCTCCTGTTTTCAGCCTCCCCAGAGCTGGGACTGCAGGCATGTGCCACCATGTCCTGACCTGGTCGAGACTCAGCATGGCCCATGAGTGGGGCCGGCATGGAATGCAAGACCAGGGATTGAACCCTGGTCCCTGTGCTTGCCAAAGCAGGCACTTAGTCCACTGAGCTATCTTGCCACTGAGCTATCCACAGGGCTATAATTTTTAACTTTGAATCCCAAGCATGTAGCATACAGCCAGGCACACAGCAATGAAGAGATGGGTGAAATTATAACTCTGGATGAGAGAGCAGAATATCTTAAAACATGTGACAGCTTTGGGCTTGGGGATGATCCACGAAATCTACATGATTATGGTAAAAACACGCCACTGTATTTTGTCTCAAGTATCATAGGTAGTTTTTATCTTTTTCTTTTTTTTTGGGGGGGGGATAGGTTTTGTTTTTACTAAAAATATATATTTTTTGGCTTTCCACAGGTCAATTCTTCAATAATTGGAAATATTTTTGTTTGAAACCTCTCAAAAAGCCTGAAAGAAAATCTTCTTTCTCTTCAGCATTTATAGGCCATAAAAAGGTTTAAAGAAAGCGCACTCATAACTTAAGAAACTGAAGATACTAAAGGCAAATGGAAATGGGCCATCTGTCCGTCACTGGATTTGGGGTGCTGGCAGCTACAGAATCTCAGCGTTAGAAGGCCCTTTGATGATGCTGAAGAGAGGAACTTACTATGTAGTCCCCTTTCTGTGTCTGCTTCTAAGAACCAGAATGACAGACAGCGATGTATCCACAGAGGGAAGAGGGATGTGCACACGCAGGAAGTCTGGATGCTGAGCTGCTGTCTTTCAACCAAGCACTGTGTTCGACAGAAGCATCACCACACCTGCGGCGGTGCAGGCCCGGCCCTTCCCGCCAGGTGTCTGGAAAGGGCATCTTTTAAACCCTGGGTGAATCTCAACCCTCACAACAACTTCCCAGCTTTCACAAGCCCTGGTTGCCAGGAATGGCCTGGGCCAAGCATCCTTTTCTTCACCAGTGGCCAGTGGCTCAGCTCAGTCTGCCCCAGGCCTAGCCGCAACGGTTGTATCTGCAAGATCCATGGCTCCTCAGAGCAAAAGCACAAGGAGTGCAGTAATTAAGCACTTCGGTTCTAGGGCCAGAGACTCATTTAGGCTCCCAGAGCCTTTGTTTTCACGTTTGAAAATTAGCTTTTATACTTCAGTACGGTATCCCTGGTACAGAACAAGTAGTCAATAAGAAGTTGTCATTATTATTATTATCCATTTATGGTAGTCTAGGCTAACATAAGCCTATTAACATTCCAACTCACATGGTACCTAGCCAAATGGCCTTTCCTAGACTCTAAAAATGACAAAAAGTGAAAGTATCAGTGAATGACTGGTGATGAAGCGCCCTGCCACGCTGCTCGGGGCTGGTAAGTCAGGCCTCGTACGTTCCATTCACTGTGCCATTTTAGTCTCAGTATTGCAAGACTGAAGCCTGTAGGAAACAGGAAGCAGGAAGCTGGTGTCCACTGTTCCCCTCCCTGGGAGGCACCTCGAGGGCCTGGGTGGCCTCCTCACTAACCAAGTAAATGAGATTCCCACCCTGGGTTATAGGGGTGCAGGCAGCCTGTGAAGTAAATTCTGTTTACCAGAATCTGTAAGTTTACTCGGAATCACTTAAGTGGGTGGTTGAAGGTGGTGTACAGAAGCAGGGAGACGCAGGAGAACAAAAGAGTAAAATGCACAGAAAATTGCTGGAAGTACTTGCAATGTGATTTACCTCTGGGCCAGTTCCTGGTTTTAAGTGAAAACCAAAAACGAGTTCAAGGTTCACAACTTTTTCCTCATTTTCTTCAGGTTCACCTCCTGAGTCCTAGAACAGAAAGCCAAGCAATATTTATTCTAGATGGCGCTTTTACTTTGACTTCTTGTGTAAATCGATGGTTTTTTAAAAAATCTATTTGCTGCTGGTTGTTCTGGATGAAGCTACAAGTTACAATTACTTAAAGCAAGAAAAAAGAGGGCCAGGAAGATAGCTCAGTGGCATAAGCGCCTGCCTGGCAAGCACTTTGCCAAACGATTTAGCTCATATATGTTAGGCTGAATGTCACTGTCTTATGCTTTTCATGATGCATCTTCCATCAATTTTACTCTAGAAAAGCACTTTATCCCTGGAGATCTATTGTGATATTTCAATTTGAGAGTTTCAGGACACCTGAGATAGCAGTAAACTTCCCAAAGAGAATTCTGCAGCTCCAAGCGCACAGGTGAATGGAGGAAAGGGCTTGCAGATGGAAAACCGTACTTACTACTGCATGAGTAGAGGGTTTTTAAAAATTGTGTTTGGTTACTGCTAGACATCAAACATGGCCTTACAGATGCCAGACAAGAGCTCTACCACCAGGCTACATCCCCAGCCCCTAGTGGCCTATGTACTAATTGCAAGTATATGCTGATCATATGCCATATATTTTGAGATTATATTTAGAATAATATGTTCAATATAGTAGTCCCTTCTTATCGACAGCTTTGCTACTCACAGTTTCAATTACTTGCTAGTCAGTTGTGGTCTGTGAATATATTAAGTGGAAAATTTAACTTTTAAATAACCTTTTTAAATGATTTACTATTGGTAATCTCTTAACTGTGCCTAGTCTAAAATGATAGGTATGCATGTATATGGAAAAGATTCTAGGTAGGGTCTGGCAGTAACCTCAGTTTCAGGCACCCACAGGAGGTGCTGGAATGTATCCCCCACAGATAAGGAAGGACTACCAAATAACAATATGTATTCAAACAACAGACCTCCCATTCCCCAATGCAGGTGAGAACCCAGAGCTCGAGTATGCAAATTCCTTCAGAGACTTACAGGTCCGAGAAAGATGCCTAGAGCCAGGTGGAAGGCCTGAGGTCCTCACCTACACTGTTGCCACTTACATCTCCTAGCTACTAAAGTGAGATGTATTATTCTTATAATAAATACACTGTTAATATTTTAACATGTGGGAAACAACTTGGACACATCCTAGTCTTCAAAGGGACTTTTATTGATTAAATGTGATTAAATTCCACTTCAAGTTTCCGACATTCGCAAACGCAGGTGTGGATGTGGCAGGTGCATATGTCAATAAAAGAGGCAGACTTTCAGAAAGGAAATAAGCCTTACCTTAATTAGTGGTGGGAAGTGGAACAGGTTTAGGTAATCATGGGTTAGTTTCTCAATGGCTGACTGTAAAAAAAATCATCATATTGTTAATAATCTGGTACTTGCAAGAGAAGACTAAAATTACTGGTGACATAGAAAAGCATTCTTACACAGGTCACAGAATATATTGGGGGTGTTAGTATCCATTATCCATTGAGCATATACCTGACTGTCCAAAGTGCTGTAGGTAGTTCTTACAGGACAGGACAATTTAAAATTTATGACATTTTTGGTACTCATCAGATATTAGGAACTGTCATGTAGAAAGCAAAAAGTGTCCATCTGGGAAAACTAGATGCATTTTTTTCCCCCCAAAGCCAAATGAAAACTGCTGACACTTGGCCATGTAATCACCATTTACTGGGCATTCAGTCTTTCTCCTTCCACTAGACTCCACACAAGACATTGTAGGCTCAGGGGAGAAGGGACCCACAGCCAGGCTTAAAGGGAGGAACCAGCACGTAGGAAAGGATGGTGGCCCTGCGGCTCCGTTGCTCCATTTCCCAGTTTTATCATCTACTGTTAGGTTGAGACTCTTTTGAGAAGGTGCACAGTGATGTAGCACAGGATGAAGTGTGTGTGTGTGTGTGTGTGTGTGTGTGTGTGTGTGTGTATGCACACAGGAGATACTCCTGACAAGTACCAGGAGGGCTCCTCTTATATATTTTTTTTTAATTTTTTTTTTATTTTTTA